GATTTCTTGTTACATTTTTTTTGCGATTTTACATAAATAAAAAATTTGAACTGGCGGCATTTTCTTGGGCTCCTAAACTAACTAACTAAATAACTAAGTAACTTCTGCTATCTTCTCGCTTTTGCTTTTAAGCTTAAACTGCGAATTGTGGTTATAAAAGAACATGCATTATCGCTGATTGGAATCGTTATACTTGCCACTTGGTAACATATTTTATTTTATACTTGCCCACCACATGCACCGCAATTTCCTTCTTCCCTTGCTGCCTGGGCGAACCAAAAATCTTCAAAAAAGAAGGTATCTTTCAATAACAAAAAATCCATGCTTAAAGGCATATATTACCAAGCGTTCTTCAAGTTTCGGACTGCTGCTCATCTAATAGCCATTTACTACATACCTACATTTGTTCTAAACATACATTAACCTTACGTAAAATATGTGGGTAACTAATAAATATTCTGCCCTCCTCTCCTAACCCCAATATCTGAAATATCTTAATGTCTCGCCACACCCGGTCGTATGCGTATTTTATTGCCAGCGTGTATACCTAATGTACGCCTAATTAAATTATTTATTGGGTCATTAGTGGCGGCGTACTTTGCTTATTTTAAAATTCGTGGCTCACGCAGATTGTAAAAATATTTTCTATGGAAAAAATAGGTTAAGTGATTCTAAATAATTTTGTGATTTCATGCAAACTGCCACCGCATTTACGGACCTTAACCGCCCACTTCCTTTACCAAAGAGCTACACGAAAGGACCGGCCATGAATTACAAGACTGGCATGTAACATGTGGCGCTTACTCATTACCATTTTTTACATTTTTTCGTAAGGTAATAAATTTGTAAGCCAGCAAATTACCATTAACAAATCAATAAAGCAAAGGATGGCAGCAAAATTAATAAAGAAAATTATTCATTAAGCGGATGAGTGTAAAGGGAAAATTATAAAAAGCAGCTGCTGCTTCGAAAAATAAAGCAAATAGTAGATATTTATTTAAAGTTGCAAGAAGCAAAAAAAACGTAAACTGCAACTGTACAATTAGTGTGTATCTCACATTCGCTGTTATAAAAAGCTATAAAAGGGGCAACGATGGTTTTTTTCTCTGCCATGTAGATACTCCAATCGTATGCTCTTAATGTGTGTCCTTTTTTACCACACTCTCTGCAGCTGTAATTAAACTTTGGCTACGCAGCCACTCAACTCCGCTTTGAACAATGAAAGCCAATTTGTTGCTCAAACAATTCCATTGCACATTTCAGCTACTTTGCGCTGTTAACAGGTGTTTTTATATCTGGTTAGTAGAGCAGCATTTACATTTAAGTTCGAATTTTTTACTGTCCATAGCAAGCTAGAAAGTTGTTACTTCAACTGGAAATAGCGCAAATGTTGCATGCCACCCGCATCCACTGCAACTTGCAAAAAAAATAAAATAAAATGCGATAGATGTGACAACTACTTTTGTGTCTATTTTATTTTATGCTGCTACTAACAACTTTGTCGTTGTGATAAAATTGCTGACATAAATGCTGTGTTAAATGATCGTTAAATGTGTGTATTTTCGCTTTTTTACTGGTCACTTACTTACTTTACGGGCAATGAAGTTTTCAAGTTTCTGCGCTTAATTTGTAAAGTATTTAGTGAGATTTCACTGATTTGCCAAAGGGTCTTTTACACTGGACGCATACGCAGCAGATTGAAAGTGTGTGCAAAACAAGATTGAAAAATATTTTAAAATATAAAAATTTTAAAATATTAAAAATTACTCTATGGCAATCCCAAGCAGGGAAAAATTCATGGAAGGCTTTTGCAACTCCACTTGGTAAAAGTGGCCTGTTTCCACTTGAAAGCTATTGAAAAATTCAAGGGCTATGCCCTTGAAATTGAAAGGTGGATACAAACAACGGCATGTCTGATCGTTAAGCAAAATTTTCGAGTGTCGGTCCAAAAAATAACTCGAACCTTTTTTTTTCTAAGAAGTCTCTTCGTCATCATTTTGCAAACATGTGCATGCGCTGGAAGTGAGAGAAGGAGAGAATAAGTCTACACACACAGAGTATTCGGCTTTTGAATAACAGATGGAGCACTATTTGTAAAAGTCATAGGTGAAGGGGGATATGTAGATGCAGAACGTGATAAACATAAAAGTAAAAACGAAGATAAATATAAAGAAAAATATGAGGATGAGCAAACCGATAAAAGTAAAAATGAAGATAGAGGAAGAAAAATTAAACTAAAGGTAATTATAGAGAAAAGGATATAGACAGAGACTCAATATGGGGGACTATTTCGGGATTTTAGAGATTTTCGGAATTCTCAGGTCTTATCGATATAATAATCGATACTTTATCGGTTTTGTTATCGATATTTTTATCGGTTTTGTTATCGATATTTTTTTCGATTTTGTAATCGATATGTTTACCGGTTTTGTTATCGATATTTTTATCGATTTTGGTACCGACTTCATTATCATTCTTTCGATATTATTATCGATTTTGTTATCGATATTTTTATCGATTTTGTTATCAATGTTGTTTTCGATTCTTTATCGATTTTGCTATCAATATTTTTATCGTTTTTCTTATCGATATTTTTTCCTTAGTGTGTGCTTTCGTTTTTGACTTGGATGAGCTCTTAACCGTACCACGTATTCTACGTTTAAATTTAGCGGCTGTGTCTCCGATACAACCTGCATACCAAGACTGTTCCATTTTATAAAATTTTAAAATCTGGTTTACACGTAGAAAATGCTACATTTTCTTAAAAGTTAATGAATATTAAACAAACAAAACGAAAATTTTACATACTGAGGATCAGAAGGGTCTGCAATTGTAATAATTGGAATGTATCCAGTCGGCTGATTTAATCAAAATTTAGCATAGGTTCAGAGAAATAACTCGTATACTGAAATTGACAAAAAAAGGAATATAGAGAACTAATTGAATTGAGATGACCGTGTGAGTAAAAGCAACAAAAGATCAGCACAATTCGAGGTCGATCGGTGTAACATATTAAGGTACCATCGGAAAATTTCATAGCATTACGTCAAACTATATTGCACATGGGCGAGGCTGCGGGCAAAACTGGTTGTAAGAGTTGAGTTGGCAAATTCTCAAAGTAAATTTTTTAGGTTTTCTTTTATTTTCATCGTGCAACATGTTTAATTTTACGGCACCGATTAATTTACTATTTACAATAAAAGCTGGTCAATTGTATTACAATTAGCTTTGTGAAAAAAAAAAAATGTTTATTTAGTCACTATGTGTTCATCTTATTTATACATTATCTTTCATTCTAAGCATTTTTAAACCCCATTGCAGATATCTTATTTTCCATTTTTTTTTTTATTGAGTAACTACATATTTACATTTTTCAAGTATGATCTGAATTTATTTTCCATTTAAAAACATAACTTTCTCCAATGATAAAGAAACTAATATAATTAAAGACTGTACGCCATATTTTTTTATTAAAAGTAAACATCATGAATAAAAGTAAAAAATTTATATCAAACACACTTTATAAAATACTAACAAAAACATTTATATATATATGTATGTATACAATCACATTTGATAAAACTAACTAACTTTCCACAACATCTATGTATTTCACTAAAAAAAATACCAAGCTTTTTCCCTCTTGCAACATGTGTGTGTACTATCCACTATCGCTACTACTATTACTCCATTGTACTACTGCTATTTTACTACTATGTATTTAGTATTGTTGCTACTCCTTTTGCTAACAATATTCACTCCACTCTCCTCACTCACCATCAAGCGCTCAAAACATTTTCGCAAGCCACAGGCCACCACAGGTGGGCCAATCGGCTGCCATGCCGCCCACATCGTCGATCACAATAAGGCATGCGAATTTAGCGCGGAAATGCGTTGATTGCTTGGGCCCAGCAAAGAATAATCAAACTGCAACTTTTCTCGATGTGCTCTAATGACACACTCTTCTTTTTCATATGTAAAATGTTTTTGAAAATTTACGTAATTTCTTAAATGAAGTACACCACACTAACAATAAAAATTTAAAAATTGTGTAAAAAAAGTAAATTAATTAAATGAATGAAAGTAGTTTTTTCTTATAATAAAACACAGTCAAAACAATTATTTTTACCACAACTCAAAACTAAACGAATTTTTGTCTGTATGTATTGTAGTCTATCCTACAATAACACGCTTATTTATTGCTGTTTCCATTACTCAATTTCTTCTTACAGAACTGAAAAATCAAATAGAAACGCAAGTAAATGAGCTAAAAACTCAAATAGAGGGAAAATGTGTCATGCAGTGATATGTCATCATATGATTATGAAAACAATATTATACCTACATATATAAACAACAAATAACACAAATAAATGAAGTAATACACGCAAAAAGCATATAACAAAGAAAGGAAAGAAACAAAAACCTATATATAATAGAAAGTCAATACTCAATGAATATATAGAAGTAAAAGCAACAAAACAATACTTACTTATATACTCAAATCAACAACTGCTGGGGAAGACAGGAGAATGAAAAACAAAAAAACAGAAACAAACATGAAGAGACCCCGAAGACATACAACCAAAATGCTGATACCAAAATGAAGTTATATATTAGCGTATAAATATACACATACATACATATAACATAGAACAAATGAAGAAATGAAAAAATTCCATACTTATATACAACCAGCAAAACGAGACAAGGAGGCGAAGTATATATACGAAGTAATTGAAATTAAAACAAAATATATATTATAAATTAATTAAAAAGTCATTAAATAAATTTGGACATTATAAAACTATTATTTCAATAAACAAATATATATACAAAAATATAATAATAAAAAAGTAAACAATTCCAAATAATACAAATAAGCTTACAACAAAAACACATAGAAAACAATAAATAAAAAGGAAAACAATCCGACGTATCAGAAGAATGTATGTATATACCTGCATATAAACAACAAAATTAAAAGCAAACGTAACACATAAATGAGCTAATAGAAAAAATTAAGTAAGTAAACACTTACACGAACAACAAATAAAAAACAAATATTCAGCAAAACTACAAATAACAGACAAGCAACAAAAAGATCCAAACAGCTACAAACATAAGCAAGGCTATTCCGCAAGATTTACGCCAAAAAAATAAAAAAATTGCTAGAACTAACTTAACTGAAAATATATAAACATAAAGAAGAAAAAACACAAAAGTAGCAAACCCTCAACAATAGACATACGCCATGCTCATTATTTATTGCAAACTGCGTTGCAAAAGCTGGCACAAAGCTTTCAACAGCAACAACAACAACATTTTCAACGAATGCGATTTTCCAAGCCACGCATGCACGTAGCAGTGCACTCACACAACAAAGAAGAAAGACAGTGAGAAAGTCATGCAACTGTAAGCACTCTCCTAACATAGGTACGTTCGCACTGCCTAGAAATAACAGTAAATACACAGGCAAATGAGCTTTATGCATGAGAGCGACGCGCGCAACAAGGAGCGCACGTTCTTGAGTAAATCACATGAAACGCAAGCAACGCTTCTAGATCAGCGATGGGCAGGGAGAGCTTTTACTCTGCACGCGACTATACAAAATGTATAGAAAGCTTAAAAGAACTTTGCCCGCGGGCAAGGCGGTGTCCATCACCGTTCTAGATACATACAGAACAACAACACATACCCAAAACTAAATACTTGTGCTTTGAGCACTGTGACACAAGAATGTTAGAGAGTAAAGAACATTAACAACAGAACATATAAATAAAAAAAATTGCGTAAAAGTTAGAAAGGAACGAACCAAAGTAGATAAATAATAAGAAAATGAGAAAAAGAGAAACAGAGAAAAAGAATGCACGAGAGAGACAGAAAAAGAGAAAGAAACCTAAAACGAAAATGCCTTCAAAATTAAAGTAAAAATTAAAAAAAAAATATATATATATATAAAGAAGATATTATTATTTAATATTATGAGTACGCGAATTTTGGCATACATAACAACAACAACAAAAAAATATATAAGTTAGAACCAAAAAAAAAAAAACCTACCTAAAACCACAACAACAACAAATTAATTGCAAATTAGAAAGTTGTATAAGACAAAAAGTAAAACAATTAAGCAAACAAAAAAACATTTAAGTATTAACAACTTAACAACCATTTTTCAAAACGAACTCTACTCAATTTCATTCTGCGCTAATTGATACTCAAGTTCACTTGAAATTTTTGAAAGCAAAAAATACAAACCGTTATAGACTCAATACTCTTGACGAAGTTTACAAATATACTCTTTAACATAGACCGTATGATGAAAACTAAAAACTAACCTTACATAAATTTCACTAACCAAAAGAATTAGTTCGTTCTCCTAATTCAAGTAATTAATAAAACCTTTATGTATGTACTCGTAAATGCAACCTCAACCACAGCATTGCTGCACTAATTGCAAAACCATACTTAAAAAATCATACCAAAAAAAAAGCAGGAAATTGCATTTCAAATTGAACGAATCAGACAAACTGCAGCAAATCGAATCATTTACTGTTAATTGGAATTTGTTATTGATATTGGCAAATTGATATTTACATAAAAGCAAGCTATGAAACACTTTTTTCAAGAAACAGCGGCTAATCTGTACAATTTCTTTCTTTTACTCAACTCCCTCCCAAAAAAAAAAAAAATAAAATAAAACTTCCAAAACACACAATGAGCCCTATCCTCTGAGATAACACAGAAACGAAGAAACTGCAAATGTAAGTAAAACTCAAATTGTTTCCATATACATTTTTACTCATTTTAAGCAAGTTACATACTTACGTAATAGATAATAGTTTTGTTTTTGATTTAGTAAATTATTTATTTTGCTTATTTCCAAAACTGAAACAATTTCACATGTATGTATATATGTATATAATTAAGTAATATATATATATATCAATTATTCAATATTTCATATTAAGTATAATCATACAGCCAATATATTTAAGATTTAGAATAATATGTAAATATGGTATCTCGCAGATCATGAAATACCAAGCCATATTCATTTATAAATATTAATAAAACTCAATTTCTAAAAAAAAAAATCTTAATACATAGACAGGGCTGCATGTATTCATTCAAAATGGCTTATGAATTCTTCATAATGATTTTGGCTTCACATTTTTTGGAATTTGAGTGAGTACATGTTCTGATAGACATATGTGTTGGGATTACTATATTCAAACAAAGTGAAAATAAATTCAATTGAAGTAAATGATAATTTTTTGTATGAATATTCAAAAATATTTTTTCTATGCACATATGTTCAAACATACATATGTATGCATGTATGCATTGCTGCATTTTCTATTACAAATTACAAATTACAATACGAACAAAGTTGTTTGTAGAAAAAAACGTTTACCGAAATTAATTTGAATGATTTGAATGTTTTCAATTCATTCATTCACATTCTTCCATGTGAACATAGAAAATTTAAAACAAAATATATATGCATAGCTTACATAATTCCAAACGATGAGTGTTTTGTATGTGAAGTAAAATATTCAAGACTTCTGTACCCTGTTTGGCTAGAAGTTTGAAAGAATTCATGCAGCTCTCTAATGCATAGTAAAGGCTCGTAGACTTGCAAAAATGAGTATAGATCACAAGCCGACACTTTTGAGAAGCCTTTTCATTTAACCTAGACCTTTCCACACCGTTTCTCTCTTCCGTCGTTGGAAATGACTTCCTGGAGGAGTTTATGCTCAGCTCACCTCGAAGGATGGCGTTACACTTCAGATCCCTGACATTGTCAAATATTTTTTCACAGGAAGCTATCGTGGAGGACAAATATTTAACAGCGAGTAGAATGGGCGTAATCAAGCCAATTGTTTTAGGTTGTATGAAGCTGTAGAAGTCCGATATTTTCAATTCCGTTATCTCCACCAAGCTAGTGGAAAAACTTATTCTCAAGTATTTAAGTGAACTTGTGTAAAAAGCTGGGCATTGGTGTAAGATGCGCGAAACCGATTTCCATTATTCTTCATTACCGACGCACAGTTGTTCAAAACTGAAGCTTACTGTTCATAATTCACTGCTACATCTATTTTTCAACGCATTTGATCATTTTTTTTAATGAAAGCTCACAAAAATAGCAAGAAACCAGTTAAACTCGAATTTTAATTTTTTTTTATTTGTTTATAATAACTTTTTTGTAGTACGAAGGGCAGCAAAGGTAGCATTTTTTGAAGAAAATCGATTCTCCTGGTCCAGTTAAAAATAGTACGCAATAAAAAGTAGTTGAAAACAATTTTACGGTAACCCCAAAATGAAAAAGATGTCACAAAATTAATTAGAAATTTTACAAAAAAAATTCACCAAAATAAAAATGAGTTTTTAGAACAATTTTGGATAGGTAGTTTTATAGATCATTAAACAGTGGCTAAAAGTTCGCGTTGATTTTTAATAATTTTTTTCACTAACATTTCGAGCACCAGCCGTTCTTTTTTCGGTCGGACGGATTTCGTAAAAAAAATTATGTCATGCCTCCGAGGTTTTTTTTTCTTCGGAGATATATGATCTGTAAAAGTTTGCATTTTTTCGTCTTTCTGACTAATCATGTACTTCTTCAAATCGTTATATCTCGGGTTCTGCTCATCGTAGAGACTTTATCTTAACGTCCTTTTAAAGCTAACATATCTACATCAAGCAAAGAGTATTCCAGAAATGGGCGTGGCTATATTAAAACCAAAGTTCAAAAACTTAGACTTTATTGTGGATTTCGCCACAATATCTATTTGGATTGAAAAAGTTGTGGAACAAATATTGTTAACTAAGCGATATTCTGCCGAAATCCGCAATAAAATCTGCGTTTTGCTAACTCGAGGTCGCCCCTCGTCAGGTAATGGCAAACCTCCGAGTGTATTTCTGCCATGAAAAACAGCTTCTCGTAAAAATACAATCGCCGTTCGTGGTCGGCGTAAAACTGTAGATCCCTTCCCTTTGTGGGTGGGACCACATCAAGGCGCACGCCACAAATCGGAAGAGAAGCTCGGCCAAACACTAATATATGTGTAAGTGTAATGTTATTAGGGTTACATTTTTTTTTTTGTTAGAAGAGTTTGGGCTATAGATCTGCATACCCAAAAATGTTCTAAAGATTCAAATTAAAAAGTTGAAGTTTTGATGAAAATTTGTTGAGTTTTCCTAAATTTTGTATAAAGCTTGAAACTGTGATTTATATGGTTTCAATTGAAGCTTGGACGAAATTTTTATAGAGAAAACATAACATTACATTGATTTAAAAATTAAGACTCCGTTGAATTATGAACTGTTAATGGTAGTTTTGAACCACTGTACGGCGCCGATAGTGTTCTTACTACAGATCTGTTGAAGTGCAAGTGCTCCTCCTTACGCTTCATACTAAGCCTCGAGACCATAGAGGTCTGGAGATTTTACAGTCGTCTCAATTTCACCATAGGTGATTTATTATGGCTATGTATTCATATGTTCGTTCATTTTTGTCTGGCGCTATTCCTCCCTGGCTGGGTTTCGTATAAGAATTCTATGCGGAAGTAAAAAAAGATGTGATCAGTTCCGACATCTAAGTCACCTCTAATACCGTTGAACCATCTTTTTTCAAGCTCATTTAAGTTCGCTTCGTGCCGGTACTGAGCGTGCTTCCACATTTTGAAGCCACTTTTGCAGCTACAACAGGAATTCAGGGACCTTTATTTTTCTTGAAAAGGAGACAAGTTCAATGTTAGAAGGATTAACTGCTAGCCAATCATCTGTTCAGACTCAAAGTGCAAAAGAGTACCTGTGCTAACTTGCGCTAAATGCATACTACTACACTGATCTGCTTTAAGTCGACTTAGTAGGCGCTGAGTGAAAACATCCGACATAGAATATTTCAAGTCCCATCCGGCCGTTGGTATACCGTCCTTACAGTCCTTACAGGTTAGTAATGCTATATTACTTGAATGGTCTCTGTCTGCTGGGCCGTGGCTATTCGGTGCGACGGGAATCATCCCAATACTTAGTTCTCAGTTTTCCTGTTTTAAACTAATTTTATATTTGTCCAACTACGAAAATTAAATTTAACTCAACCCAATTTTTATGATCTCAGACGATCTTAGTATATTTCTTTATTAACCTTCGAAAGTTCCAGCCAAAAACTTTTATTGCCAGGAAGCTTTTCACAAAGAGTGTCATTTATCCGGGCCAAACTTCCGTGTCCTAAGTGTAATCAGAACAATAAACGCGAGCTTTTAAAACTAATATCGCTTCTGATAGCGTAACTGTTGCTAGGAAACCTGTGGTTGCAAACGTTTATGCAGCACCATAATACTTTCAATTATAGTCAGCTAATAAATAGTATCCTTTTTTTTAAATACCCGTATTTCTTATCCGGCTAGTACTAGTCTATAAAACTCATTTAGAAAATCCTATACTTCATATAACCATATCAAGAAAAAATTTCCAACAGACTAGTATTATTCACTTGATACAGATTATAAATATATTATAATAGACATTTAGTGCATAAACAGATAGTTTTACGAACTACTAACCTATCGATCGTCGCATGCAACGATTGATAGAAAAAAAAATTACCACGCATATATAAAGAGACAGTTTAAGCAAACACACCATTTTAGATTATGATTCTGTTGCTGCCAACATTTGAGGCTCTCTCCGCCTAGACAATGGGTGGAAGAGCGCAAATGTTTCAAGCAGCAAAACAGATTTAAGCATATTTGTGATAGCTAATAGAAAACACACATCCAAACAAACCAAAAAATTGCACCACTGAAAATCCCACCCAATACTAACCGAGATTTGGAAATAATTTCTCCCATCCAATAGCCAGAAAGGCTAAGAATCACAAAATAGAAAGAATTCACTTGTAAAATAAAAAAATAAAAAAAAATTAGGACTTCTGTAACATGTTCTTCTTATTTGGTAATGCATATATTAACGCATGTAGTTATAGGTATAATTAATATATGTATGTATGTAGAACTCAAGAAAACAGAATATTATAATAATAATGTTAAAATCGTACACACATATTGCACGTTTAATAATATACAGAATTATTTTGAAATTTCAATTTTGTGGCAAAACGCAATCAAAATTTGATAAATTCATACAGTTGGTATACTAAAAGATAGATGGAAAGACACATATCTTCGTCATATTTGGGAAGTTTCGTCATCTGTTAGGCTGCGCATATTCAGCTTATTAATTGTATGATGAAATCTCCAAATACGTAAATTTTGAATTACATATCTATATTATTAAACGTGCAATATGTAAGTATGTATTTTATTCGATAGATAGCAAGTAAAATGCGCAAAAGCTAAGCAAGTGCAGCTGTGATAGGTTTAAGTCAACTTCTATCCTACTATAAATCGAATTAAAATATTAAACAGCATCTCACCCGCATCAAAAAGTCAGCGTCGTTCGAGTACTGAGTTAAAAAAGTTTATTAAAAACTTTAAGCAATTAATTCAAAACTTACTTGGTGTAAGCCTCGCTCTTATGTGCTAAAACAAAAAGGGAATGTTGGAATTCCTCCGTATGTGTAGTACACTTCTATTCGATGAAGTTTTGTTGAATATTAAAAAAAAAAAGGCTCGTTCACTTTACTCAGCTGCAGTAATTTTTTTAGCGAGGCTTCTTTGGCAATGAAGAAGTCAACAAACACATTTAATAAGTATACATAAATAAGTGGAAACATTTTTCATCATCGTACATCTCTTCAATGATGTTATGATGTGCTTTAAAAATTTCACCATATGTACGTATGTGTGTACATCTCGCCTTCAAAGTAAGACCTCTATTGAGGTACTCTGTGGCGCCGAATGAGCTATATGGCTTGAATTCTTTTTAACAGTTTTCTTTGGGGATATTTGAAAGAAAGAGTGTACGTTAACAAACCAAGAACCATTCTCCAACTCGAAACCAACATTCGAAATGAAATCATGGCCATTACACCCGAAAGTCCGCGAGAAGTTATGGAAAATATGCTAAAAAGAGCACGTACATATGTGCGAAGCAGAAAATGGACATCACTTAGAGGATATCATTTTTGCCTGTATTAAAAAAATAAATAAAATTATAATAATCGCATAAATAAAAAAGTTATAAACCATTTAAACCATATAGCTCATTCGGCGCCACCCTGTATATACTCTACAGTTGAAAACCGATGAAATTGCTTATTTGGCAAGTAATTATTTATGTGAAAAAAGGCCTTTAGATGAATTTCTTGTATAATTTAGGTTTCACATACATATTGAAACTTTTTTTTTTGTGTTTTGTGCTCGTTAGTTTGGCGGCTCTACAGGATCGTTTGCGAAACAAAGAACACAATTGGAAAGGTATTTTTCTGTAGATGAAGATGTACATTTGTTGAATATTTATGATAAACGCGGCTTTAAAATATTTCCGTATTTCGCTATTTAAGCGTGAAAAGATGCCAAGTTAATTTTTTGAAATTGAAAGTCCACGTAGTATCGCATTATCTGTCCTTCTGCATGAAAAACTAAATTTTTAAAAAAATGGACTTGGCACATTTTCACCTTTAGCCAGCAATATGTGTAGAGTTGTTGTTGCAAGCTGCTCGGTTTGAAAATGAAAACAATGAGAAGTACATATGTACATAAGAATTTGGGTAACTGAAAGGGTAAGAAAATTCACAGAGTTTTTCGATGAAACTTTAAATTAATTCAGTCATCCAAAATTCAGTTATCGAAACTCATTGAGCTAACTCTGTTTATGAAGTTATAGGAATGTATCGAACTATACAAATTGAGCATTGCTGTCAAAATTTATAGAGACACAGAAACTTAACTGTCGAAATTTACCGACAGTTATCAAGATATTTGTCAGTTTATCGAAATTTTTTAAGTTAACGAAATGTATCAAGTTACCGATATTTTTTGTATCATCAATATTTATCGAGTTCAATGAATTCAATGAATTATCGCAATGTAATAAGTTCTTTCAACTTATCGAGTTATCGGTATCTATTGATTTGAAACATTTTGTGTCAATAAACCGAAGTTTTCGGAATTTTCAAAGTAAATCGAGTTATCGATATTTCTACCAGTTACCAGTCTGTAACGAGTTACCGAAATTTGTCGACCGATATTGAAAAATATGGAGCCAGCAAAATTAGTCGAGTTATCGCCATTCCTTTTTTTTTAGTGTTTTTGCACTATTGCAGTTTATCGACAAACTGGAATGTATCGAGTCAATTTCTAGTCCAGCCAAAGTCTATCAAAGATATAAAAGTGTAGCCATGTTTTAGTTCCAAATCAGGAGATTTTCCGGTATACATATATAGTAATTCCGTAACTTATAAGTTAAACGACATCCTAAATGAGAAAACATCTTCAAGGCTCTGAAAAAGCGATCGCAATTAGGTGCTTTTAATTTCAGGAATTTGTTCGAATATTTCATATCATCGTTATGAAGCAAATATTAAACACTACGCATTGTGTATGAAAATTTCTTAGCGTTTCGATGATTAAAAAAAAAGTCCGGTTACATATCCGTTGTGATGAATTTGTGATGAATATAATATTTTTGTCAGTTTTGCGTTATTTTAGTCAAAGCCCACTATATAGGTGCTGCAAAAATTGCACAAAATTTTCAAGCCGCTCCTTAAAGTCGATTAACTATGCAAGAAGGTTAAGAGTGCCTCCAACTAGGGTTTATAACAATCTCACATCATTAAAACATAACTTATCCTGTTTCATAAACAACGAATATTTTATATAAAAGATTTTATGAAATTAGAAATTTTAGTACATCTATTTTATATGCAATTTATATCGTTACACTCATAAACATACACATATACATACATATATCTTTGCACCTAAAGGCATATAGATAAGTGTATTACTGCACATATCAGACGATCGCCCTCAATAAAAAGTATTTACTTTATTAACACTTAATAAGCATACTTATGTACTTAACCATCACTCACTTGCATAAATATTCATATATTGACATACATACTCGTACATATCGATTTGCAGCATGTTTTCTTAATTATTATAAACGTACTACTTACATACATATGTATATATGCTTACATGTATAAAAATAAATCTACATATTAAATTTGTTTTCATAAATTTTGCTTATATTTTTTATGCATACATATTCATGTATTTTTTTTTTTTTTAAAAATATTTTACATATTCATGTAAATATTTTAAACATGCCAAAACTAACATAAAAAAATTTGTATAACTCAATGTCACTTACTATCTCTTTTTCTCTATTTTCTTTATCTCTATTTCTCTCTCTTTCTCTTTTTCTTGCTGTGTCTCTTTTTTTATTCATTCTTCTGTGCTGTTTTTGAAACAAAAAATTCTGTATGTGTATTTTTGTAATTAAATGTTTCATACTAACTTTAAATGTGTATTTGTGTGCGCGCCATTAATTATGGCAGTTATGGTTTTTTGTTAAATCATTTATGTTTGTACATAAAAAAAGTGCAAGTAAACGGCAGAAAAACACAAATTAAAGTTATGACATAAAAGAGAAAAATCGCATTTGCATTCAAGTTTGTAAAGAGTAAGCAAGAATATTGTCGACACACACTAGCCCTAACAGCAACAACACCGAAACAACAAAGAAACAAGCAAACAAAAAACATCCAACCAGGCTTACAACTACAACAACAACTAGCCAACATCTGGTCTTACTTAACATGAATCCATATTGAAATACGAAGTGCTGTAACGATTCCACATTCAACCAAGAGGCTACACAACAATTCAGCGATTTGCACTCCAAAAGCGAATACATTTGTAACTTTGTGCGTTTTTCTTTACCGAATTATTACTTATGTACTTATGTGTACTAACTTAGCCGTATACTTGTGTAACTATCCATACTTTATGTACTCTATGTTTGACTTTATGTAGGATGTCCTACGTACATATTTTTATCAATATTTACATTCAAGCGATATGTTTTTTTGTAACATCACAAAGTAAACTTCTATAATGTCGAGTTTGCACGTGGCATTCAATGACAAAATTCACAAAAAAAAAGGCAATGGCACCTAAAGCGAATGTTATATGGAAACTGATGATTACAGTACTTGTTAGAAGTCAACGCGGAAGAAGGACTGAAATTTTGTCAATTCAATGCCTAGTGAAAATTCGGCTTAACCAAATATGGAAATTTTCTTAGGTTAGCATCGAAAAAATTCTGTCTTTAATTTTTACTTTTACTTATTTGTCTGTTAGTGATCATTTTTCGCAAAGGTCAAGATTAAACAAACATCCTTCTTTTCCAAATTAATAAATAAAGTTAATCGGTAAAACACTATATCTATGAAACTTAAACTCTATTCGGAATACACTCAATTTCGTTTGAATTACGCTACTTAGGTAAATTGCGTGGTGGTGGCTGTGTATTTAAACGATAACCACGAAGAGCTTTTACGCCGAATGCGTGCACATAAAATTGTATTTCAACGATAAGCAGAGAGAGCTTTTACGCTGAAGGCGTACATATAAAATTTAAATCAAATTTTAAAAAGCTTTTCCCACTGCATATATGTATGTATGTATTTCGATCGCGACTGCTGTATTTTAGCTGTAAAAGTGTTCGTATGAAGAAAATTTGTGGGAAGCTTAAAGCTCTGTATAAAATATACGTAAAGCTTTAAATAGCTTCTACTGTGGCATAGGTTTTCTTCGTGACTGACTTCGATAATTTAGGAAGAAAGATCGCAGTTGCTAAATCGTCTACATACATGTGTGAGCGACGACCAGAGAGTGCTTTCACTCAATGCGCGGTATTTGCTCACCAAGTTTAATAACTGATTTCGGCTCCAGCTCTCCTGCATTCTTATAATTTTTGCAGCCAAAGCGCCACTGTTTAAAAAAAAGGGGGTTCGTGTTGTTGCTAATATGGTAAGCTGGATTGCTGCTCGTAAGTGGTTTGTGTGCTCAATGAAATTTCGTGAAGAGAGCAGAATTCAATACGGTCATGATTCAAAGACAATTTGAGTGCAAGCAGGAAATTTTTGGCTTTAAAAATAGGAACATTTTAAAATAAAATTATTGATGCATACATAACTTTTCTGTACTACAATAAATTTGTTGTGCAATTATTTACTCTTAAGAATTTCCTTGTGTAATATAAATTTGTTAAAAAAAATTATAATTGTTAAATTATTTATTGTTAATTCTTAGGAACTTTAAATTGTTAATTAGTTTTTATTACAAAAATATTGATGCATTATTATATTTGTTAGAACAAAACAAAAACAAATTTATTTAAAAATAGAAAATAAATAATCATAAATATTATTTTAATAATAACTGTTACAGTCCCCCACTGAACAAAGATTTTTTCAAAGAAACTATTCACTTATTTAGTTTCTAACTTTTCCTTTAGTTGTTACTGAAAAATTTGCACCTACTTTCTGGTAAAAGATTTGCGAAAGTAGAAGGCCGGCATACCCAAAACTTAAAACATAAACAAACGCAGTTTTTTTTTCTTAAAAACCTTCAAATTCGTGCAATCTACATAGCAAAAAATGCAATTTAATTTTATGTTCACTAAACGTAGGTATTTTTTTTTTTTTGCAATTTATACAAAACTACTTTCAGTTTTCTTCTGTATTTTTTTATTCTATTGCAGACTCTTGTAACCTTCCTCACAAAGCTCCACAAAACTATTGTGGTTTCTTCAAACCTTTCGTGTTTTTTTTTCTTTTTATATTTTACAGTTTATTCAGTTTTTCTTACCAACCTTTTCCGCATCCCCATTTGCTGAAATTTCTAATAAAATTCTCTGCATGTATGTTTTTTACAGAATACAAATGAAAAAAAACTAATAAGTGTATGTATTTATTGTATGTATAATAAAATTTCTTAGAGCGATGTTTAGAATTGTTGTTTACGGCTATGTCGTGTATAATTGTATTTATGAATAAACTACATACATATACTTATAATAATACATAAAACTGAAAACAAAAATAAATGAAACATAACGCAGGCAACATTGCAACCCAGAACCTGTAAATGAATACGCATATAATTAAAAAAAATAATAATAATTAGCGTACAAGAACATACATACGTGCATGTATTATAGGATTGTGAATTAAGTAAAAAAAAAAACACAGTTTCATGCTTAGATATTGTTTTTATCAAACAATAAATAAACTTTGCCAAGCCATATTTTTCTGCAATTTACAAACAATTTTACGCATTGAAGGTACAGACAATTTTTAGCTAAGTAGAAAGTATTTTCACTCAGATACCCGAATTACTAAAACTTTCAACTAACTTTCAGCGAGTTAAATTATTACCTAAATAAATATTTCGATACGGTTTCCTACAAAACAAACACTCAAAAAAACTGGCAGAAATCAAGTCTATTAGCGTTCGAAAATCCCCTTAAAAGTTAAATCTTAGATAAAAGTTAATTTTGAGGCTACTACTCAAAACAGTAACCACGCAGACCTTTAGCCATTATGGCGCAGTTGAAAGACCAAATTTGTAAAGCTTACTCTCGAGCTACTTATTTAAAATCTACTTTAGCCTACTTGAACTTAAAGATTTTTTCTTATTTTTCCCTAGACTAAAACCTTTGAACTCTTAACGTTCATAATAGATAATTTCACTTGAAACTAGGAAAATGAAAATTATTATTAGTAAAAAATAATATAGCAAAATAAAAAGTATTTAAATATTTGAAAACAAATAAAAAAGTAAACAAGTTCTAAAATTATTTAGTATAAATAAATTAAATATAGCTGAAAACAAAAACAAAATACAAATTTAGTAACAAATAGTAAACACATTCACTACTTGCCCATAACAATTGGAGTTATTACAAAAACTCAGAAAATGGCGAGACTTAAGTTTAATAAATTGCAAATTTAAAACAAACAACAACAACCATTCTGGGTGTAAGCCTTTTAGTTACCAAAACAAAAAAATAATAATAATAAATAAAAGTCGTAGGTAAATAAATTCAGTGCTGATCAACTTATATTATAGTGAAGCGCAAAGAACGTATGTATATTAAACAAAACCCAAACATATACATATGTATTAAGTTATATGTATGTACATATATTGGCTTGTGGAACGATTATAATGAAAACTAGACAAAATGCAAAGTGTATAAAAAAATTGGTTAAAATTGCCCCGAAAACACACAAACAGAATAGAACAGAGAAGCACACATGAGTTTATACATATATACATATATAGTAAATGTGCCATATTTTAATGTATGTATGTAAATTAGAATGGAACGTAAATTGCATGAAAAACTCAGCAAGGCATACAAACAAAAACCGAATAGCACGAGGATAAAAGTAAAAACATAAACTAAATATGCAGCATGTAGCAAGCAAACAAGCAATGACATATACATATATACAAACATACATGCAAACAAGCGTATATACAAACAAGCAAACAAACAAAATACAGAGGGAAAACTAAATGTATAAAAAGAAAAACCATTTATATGAGTATATACATTATGTAGTTACATTATTATGTTGAGCTTAAACAAAACAAGGCAAAAATTAAACAAAACAAAAACGAAACGTTAGAACCCTAAAAGCTCCCGTGCAAACAAAATGCAAATAAGAAAAGCAAAAACACAAGAAAAAACTGAATTCATAGCGGTACATGAAAACAAACAAAAAATACTAAAAACAAAAATACAAAAACAACAAACAAAAAGCAAAGAAAAAAAAACAAGAAATGATGTTACATTAATTAAATTGTTACTTTGAAAATTTAACACACATAAAACTTTCAAAAAAAGAAAAACAGCAAAAAAAAACTTGAATAAAAATTATATAAACTAAAACAAAAACTAAATGTTGTTCTTTTATTTCTCGTACTTATACTCGCACTTGGCTATTTAATTAAACTCTATCTCGCTCTCGCTCTCGCTATCTCTCTCTCTGTCACTAACCCTCTGCATTGGCATACTTAAGTACTACGCACAAACATACATATGTACATATGCGACCTTCTGCTCTCTTCTTCCCCTACTGTCACACAAACAAAATAAAGCGCACAATGCTATACTTGTTTTTGCTTTATTCACCCCTACTTTAACACTTTCACCTAGGCTGCGGTCATTACTCATACGCCCTGGTGTCCAGTGAAAGGTTCAACAGCACAACAAACAACTCTGGACTTTAAAATAATATTGGAACAAAAAATGTTTGTCATTAGTTGCATGAGTTATCTTTTGTCGCTTTTTCGCTTGCACTTTACACTCTAAAAATTGCTTACCGCTTCTCTAACGTCTAGAGTTTTCTCTAAAATTCTTTAATATCAATGATCGGCATACACTAATTCAGCTTAGCTTTGTTTAACCTTTGACATACACTTTTCGTTGGAGTAAACAAAAGAAAGCTTGAAATATTTTCAAAAATATTTTAATATAAATACTAACCCTTCTATTTAGTTATATTGCATTCATTCTTGTACATTTACGCAGAGAGCAGTAAGAACTGCTTAAGTTGTTTTGTATTGTTAGTGTCCAACATCAGCTACAAAGAAAGCTAAATTTGGTTGCAACTTCTGCGTTGTGTGAATCTTTGTTATAAGTAAAACACATATTGAATTGGAAATGAGTGAAAATAAAGATCGAATTTGCTACCTTCTGATATCCCACCGCAAAAAAAAACCAGAATTAGAATAAATTCCTGCAATGCTAATTGAAGCAGTTCAACGTCCAGAACAGTCACCCCAAAAATGATTTTCTAGCTTCGTCATTAATAAAGTATACTTACAATGCCGACATGGGTGGAGAGCAGTGGTGAAATGGTAGATACAATTTAACTTTTTTAGGCCCTTGTTTTAATTCTAACGTACATTCAGTACAATTACACCATTTTGGGTGCATTACTCAGCGAAATTAGCTTTTCTTAATTTGTTTTCTACTACGCAAAAATCGGTTAATTATAGCAAGCAAGTGCAGGCAGATCCATGTAAGCTTAGCTAGCTGACCAAGTTCCACAAACCTTATGTAGATTTCTTCTCTCCAATGCACCCAAAGAAAAATTTAAATCAAATGGAACACAAATTCTTACTGACTATAAAGCGTAATAGCTTAAATCCTACCTAAAGCAATTTAGCAGAATAAAATTAAGTGTTTTAACGGAGAGAGACGGATAATATTCAGGAGTCTCAATTAACTCAATAAGGGTTCTGAATTAAGTCAAGAATTTTACATAGTTGGTTTTCGGAAATTCCGACTAAAATAAAGGGACATTTCCCAAATTATGGGGCACAACACATAAAGCTAAAATGAAAACTGCACATTTTAACCTAGATCTCAATGAAGCAACAAAAAGAAGGAAGGAAGGGATCCCAAAATAACCAACCATTACGACGAATGAAAGCTTAAGCTTCGGAAATTATGTAATTAATATGGGTTGAGAACGTTAGTTGTGAGTCAAAGTAAATCCCTAAACATTTAACCTCTGCGACAAGATTTAAGATCATAAGGTGTTGACACTTCGTAGGACATTTACTAGCAAACAGAAAGGAGTTAACGCGTACTAGCCATGATTCTAAATTCTCTAGAACCGAACCAGTTCGGCCCCAGTAGGTTACTCTACAGCATTCTTGGCACTTAAACCAAATACTTCGAATTGCCTTGCATAGGTATTGGTTTGGTTAGCTACCTTGCCCATTTTCAATTAATTTACGTAGCCGTTTCGCTCGTTTTTATCCAAGTATTTTAGCAATGGCTGTCATGCGTCAAGTCTGGAAACACTTTTTGTTCTTTAAGTCGGGGTTTTCATAGAAATATGTAATATTCTTATAGCGAACGCTATGTGGCCAAATACAAGTAAGATATGTACATTAGACAGCATCACTCCCCATTCAAAAACAAAATCGGAACTGCTTTTCCACTGGAATTATGAAATCTATTATTGCTAAGAACTCCACCAAAATATCACAGCAGAATATTTACATTTACGAGAGCTGGACCGATTTGAATTGAGTTGATTGAGTTGAAAACAGTTGTTTTAACTATTTAAAAAGAAAAGCATCAGACGATAAAACAGTTTAAGCTTGCATAGAAATATTAAGAAGAAATTTTTAACAAAGTCATCCTAATGAGATTTTTGATGCTGTTTTTGAACTTTTTTCAAAGACTGGTTAAAGAAAAACTTGAATAACTCAGCCAAAACTTTTCTAATTTAGACTTATGAAATATCACTGGTGAAGTATTGCCTCACGCTTTTTATTTCTTTGCAAATAAGCTCATTCAAAGTATCAAAGAGGAAGGTAAGATAAACGAGTGTTATTCCATTTTGAATTAAAATGTTTTGGCATTTGATAGAGAAAACGCGACGTGAATGAGTTTTTTTGTAAAGGACTTAAAAAATGAGAAAAGACCTCCACTGATACCTCATAAGTCTATATTAATAAAGTCTTAAAGCAGTATTCAAGGTTTTCTTAAACAAATCTTCGAAAAACAAGTCATTTTTAGCAAAAAAAACCGATTTCCACTCTCATATAAATATATATATATATATATCTCATGATCCACTGATCGGAGACACTACCTTTCGGATGCAAGAGGAATTATCGAAATCGGTTGACGTGGTCCAAAGTAACATACATAAAAAAATAAAAAATAAAATAAAAATAAAAATATTCCGACGAACTGATAACCTTCTCCTTTTTTGGAAGTCAGTTAAAAATTAAAAACAGCATCAAAAACCTCATAACTATTGTTCCGTTGAAACAAATTTTTAAATATTTTTATGTAGATTTTTTAAGCTTAAAGTGTTTTGTCGTCTGAGGGGATTTTCTTTCAAAAAATTGTTTAAGAAACTATTTTTATTCATAAAAAACTAAATTTTTAGAGGCATGTTCAAACTGGTCCAGCTCACATAAATCTTAATATTTTTCCAAAAATCTCGGTGCAAGTCTTAAAATATAATAAGTTTTGTAATCCCGCCGGAAAAAATGCAACTTTTTTGGTGATGCAGTATAATGTACATACATACATATGTATGTATTTGGCGGGTATTTATGAATAATCGAAAATCAAACTCTTGACACGTTCTTTACATAGGGTAAATGAAAATCTGTTGGTGGTATCTTTACTCATGTAACTAATTTTTTTTTTGGTGTATATGGTAGATCACATGCTGCAACACTGCTTTGACACTATCACCTTGATTAGTATCCCTGTTTGGTAACACAAACAATAGCTAATTTTTTTGTAAGTTAGAAATATATTTCTATATACATATTTCATATGTACCGTACCTTCTTTGCATTCACTAGTTATGCTCTCTCTCTCTCTCTATCTATCTATCTGTATCCTACTCAACGGCGTATTCTTCCCACATTGTTCCATGCCTATCAATCTACTTCCCACACACACACTCTCTCTCTCTCTGCTTCTCAACATGCCACTGGCTGTTTCCTGTTATTTATTGGTTTCCACGCCCATCAATGTCTAACTGCATACATACATACATACATACAACTTTCTGCTTGTAACATTCAAATAAGTACTGACAATTATGAAAACTACATCATGCCTGCAATATTGACATACTCGTACATGCATACAAATGTACTAAATTGCAACAAATACATACCATAAACATGAAGTACTTACTTATTTTGCTTATAATAAATAAATAAAAATTCTACTTACTTAAAAATAATTTTGTTAAAGTCTATAAGGTAAGTTTGTGTGTGTGCCTCTCTTATAATTGCAGCTTGTATGAAAAAGATTTGGCATTTCATACGTAAAAAATTTAAAAGCATTTTTTAATTGGTAAGTAAGCGTGCATACATAACCATATGGCAGCAAGCGATCTTTGCGAGCGAAGAAGATGATGGTGGCAGGATCAAATGTAAAACTACTTGAATACATATTTACAAATGTGTTTATGTATCTATGTGCATTTAGCCAAAAATGCGTGGATGCTCGCCAATTGGAACTGTATTGAAGTGTATACTTAAGTATGCGCATAGTAATTGCAAAACTAAGCATCTATTTTACTATATATTTTTCATATTATGTAATTACTACTACTTACTTATTGTAATCAATGGTTGCACACAAATAATATTCATACATATGTATGTACATACATAAAATGGGAATTTTACTAATTAGTTTAATATTTATTAGTCAAACCGTTCATCACTCTCCTACATTGCACTTACTTACTCACATTTATGTATAAGTCGGCACAGGAATGTTACCAATGTCTGTCTGTATGTATGTATGTGACTATACAGTTATCTAACTGAATATGGGAAATAAGTTATCTTTTTGATTTCCATGTAGTTACACAGAATATTTAGCAGAAAACACACGCTGCATGGGATATCCAATTCAAACCATCTACATAACTCATAAGTATACATACATATAATTTTATAAAATATTGGTTAAGATATATACGTACATGAAAATGTTCATTACATTGAGGAAATAAGTAAAAAAAAATCTTTTTTTTTTAAGTTTTCGTAGGCAATACAAGCGATTCGTGAATATTTTCAAGGATGCCAGAGCTGTCTTTTGTGAGGAACTACACTTAGATATTAAATTAGGCTACCCTACTTCTGTAGCGTACTCCAATTAGAGGGATCTGCTTTAAAAAATATACAAGCGGCGACGATCAGAGTCATTGGATCGGTGATGCGTAATGTCAAAATTGGTCTAGGATTCTCTGATCTCTCTCTCGCTTTTACCTCGTATTACTTCACAGCTGAGTGATGTTGGGTTCCGGAGCTCACCGATATTGTAGAAGACTGCTGTGCTCGAAGAATTTGTCCAGACAGCGGCCCCTAGAAACCATCACCATGGAAAGAGAAGTCATTGGGTTACCGCTGGCGACCTGCGGACCTGCGATACGCAAAATTGCAAGGCCCTTTAAGCAGGTAGTTGCTCATAGGCATCCTAGGAACCTGCTCCCGCTTACTAAGCGACAAATCTCGGTTTCGTTGGGGGTTTCTACTGGACACTGCCCAATGGGAGATCATGCGTCTTAATATTAGGGCGTAACCGATGTGCCGCAGCTGTCTGGAAGATGATGAGCTGGAATCATCTCAGCGCTACCTTTTCAGTGGCCTGCTTTTGCAAAGCGCAGATTTAAATCTATCAGTCCATACTACGCGCATCCAGCGCTTTTCTAAACTTATTTTGTTGCCTTATGTGTACCGAAAAATTCCCTCTACGCACAAACACTAAGAAGAGGGCGATGAAATGCAACATTTTTCGTAGAAACACAAACGCCATAAGTGATGGGATGCATGCCAGCTTAACTGACCTAACCTAAGCCATTTGCTGCCTATCATTATTCCATGCTCGCTCTCCTCTATAAATGCTGCGTTACATGTAGAACGCAAAAGCACTCCAAGATATTTAACCCTCTGTGAAAGATTCAATTCTGTACCATTCAATTCAAGCTTCGTATGATTTCTTCTTTTTTATTAATTTAAACAATTAATAAATTTTCTCCTTATTTACAATAAGCGAACACTTTATGGCTCAAGAAACGAACTTTTATAGTGCATTGCCACCAAGCCTTAACTTCAGTTTGCTCACACACAAACGAAATAGAAAAGAAATGAAAATTTTCAATCACCCCATATTAAAACTCTTGGAACTCTTGAGCTCTTAACTGCAGTTACGTCTTTGGTGGAAATAGGCTATTAGGTATTATACTTAGTCTAGATCGGTCAAAATCTTTTCAGAGATTGTGCTGAATTTTTTGTTGTTCACGCCTAGAAAGCTCTTAGCTAAATTCTCAAATCCAATGTTACTCTAGTGATATTTTGTATGCAAGGCGGTGACCATCACCGTTCTAGAAGCATATGATTTGGAACTCTTTTCCATAAAGTCTTGCAGCAACAACTTTACAAAACAGAAGTAATCATACGAAATTTTGATGTGCGTACATATTTATATTTTTATTCAACGCCCAAAATATAATCATACGTACTTATTTCTCAATCATATTAGCATGGTAGGTAATTCAGGGGCAGTATTTAATCAACATGTGTAAATACATAATTTTGTATTCAAAGTTGCATACTTATTTACATAAAATATATGTATTTCCAAGAAGCGTTTAAAGTATGCACCTTTTTTAAGAGGATTATATTACGGTTCATACAAAAATCTACATTTAACATAAAAATATTTAACAAGTTTCTTTATAAACGATAACCAAACAATATAGTTACATACCTAAATACCATTCTATACTTATTTAGTTAAACAAATCGTTCATTATATCTTAAGAATTATAAACACTTCACATCTTTCTAATACTAACATTTTGAAATAATAAATCAAGTTAGTAAACTCTTGGAACGTCTAACTTTTCCGCTAATATTCTCAGGCCAACTAATTTCATTTGGAATTCACTCATCATGCCAGTGAAAGCGCGATACAGCGAATCTTGATAGAACTAAAAACTCAGTATAGAAAAATGTCGTTGTTGCAAAATTTTCCAGACAAAAACGCTCCATAGCTATATAAATGACAACTTTCGAAATATACATATGGTTAAAGTTTCGTTAGCAAAAGCCTCTACGTAGCGAATTCTTAATATTTTGAGGTTAGCCGTTATAAAGAAAAACTATACTATACTTATGAGGAATTTTTTTAAAATTTTTGCTTTTTTGGTTGCATGGAGGGTTTGATATTCTCTAAATATAACTGCGCTTTCAACTTCGTTATATCAGGGTTTCACCGTATTTCGAATTAAAATGACACGCTCGCATCTTATAAAAATGTCTATCTGACTCCTTACAATATGCTGCACAGTGATATTTGATACCCATTTTGTGGCCATAATTTAAAAAATGAGTATATTCACTATCAGGTAAGGTTTGGGTCTAGTGAATAAATACTACGGCTGAATTAAAAGGGTTATTGAAATATACTCAAGTTTATATTAGTTGGTGGTTTTTTTAAATAAAACTGCTATTGAATTATAAGCTATTTAATAATGTTTACGTGCATCTTACACGAAATTGGTTGGAGAAATAAATTGATTTAAAAAAATTATCTTCCGAAAAACTTTCAATATTTTATAGTAAAAAATCGCGTCTTAAATATAAGTTCAGACACCTTCGAATTGAATATTTAGTATTATAGTTTAAAATATAATTATCTTGAAATAAACAAAAATTTTTATTGGTGAGACATGGAGAAAATTACTTATGACTAGACTGCGGATTTTTGTGCAAAATACGGAGCCTAAAAATATGTTCCACATAACTAAAAGCAGTGTGTACAAATTTTTATAAGTTTTGTTTATAGTCAAGTGGTACATATTTTAAGGCTCCGTTTTCTCCATAAAAATCCGCAGTCTACTTATTACTTAAGATTCACTTAAATATTTATTCAATACTAATCAGTTGAACATATTAAACAATTATAAAATTCATTTTAATTTTTTGAAACTCCATAAAGGAAAGGGACCAAAATTTATATGTATACCTTCGACTATATTAGCATCGACGTAGGGGTTGAGGCTTAGGTAATCTGATGTAAAAATTTGCTTACTACATTTAAGGACCACCCTAATGTACATACATGTCTATCGTTTTCTGCTGCTTTTTAAACTTTTATTCTATAAAATTTTCTTTTCAACTCAAAACTTAGCTTACTATGTTGAATTTTAATTTTACAATTTTCCCTTAATTTTTGATAGTATTTATTTGTCAATTGCTCCATACATGCCAATATTTACGCATTAGTTATAATTTGTCTTTTTCATTTCATTTTTATTTTCAGCCAAATTGAAAAAACGTCTCAGTGATGCTTTCAAAAATAGTCCATTGAAAAATCTGTTTTAATTGCAAAAAACTAAATACAAAAAACAAAACCAAACAATCCAGGCAGCAACAATAACTTACTCACAGTAAACAGCGTGTGGTATCAAAAAACAAAAAACAAAGTTTAGATTATTTAAAAACAGACTCGCATAACCAAATAAGTAATGAAATATTCGAATGCATCCAAATAAAAGGAAATATTTACCAAATAAAAATTTCGGAATGCGGTTTCAAATTTTTCAGAAATGTAAACATTCAAGCTAGAGAATGGTAAAATGTTTATTTAGGTAATGGAAATTTAAATAAACAAACAAACACGTATACATAAGTAATTGCAATAGACATTATTGGTTCAAGTTATTTTCTTGCAACACCTATTCGTGAAAACAAACAAACGCAAAATAAATATTAAAACAAGCAGCTTAAAAGTTAGTTGGAATTTAAACATTTGAAAAATGTAAGTTCTGTTTCAAATGTAAGGCTTAGTGCCCTAAGTTATTAAATAAATAATAAGCAATCAAATCGAGGCATTATTACATTTAGTATATTAGAATTGAAGTAACCACAAATTAATTACAAATTATATAAAAGAAAACTCCATACTCGTTTTTTATGTAGCAGTTGGCTTTGCATAACTGCTTAATGTTAAAGTATCCTAGCTGATTTACTAAGAGTCATCTGTTTTTTTTTTTTAGTTCTATTTTTATAGGGATATATTGATTTCACCTTTTTAGTGTTTAAAATTTAAGCCCATTTTCTAACTCAATTGCAGCTTTCTATCATGTGAGCTTTCAATAGTTCAAACGCGCTTTAAAGCTTTCAAACATTAATCTAAAAACTGAAGTCGCAAATTGACAGCAAATGGTTGTTTCCATTTTGAGTTCTACGCAACAAAAGTGCAATTACCTAATTCCCATTTCATCGTGCATTTTTGGGGAAGAAAATTATTTAGTATCTACTCACACACGTAACTCATACAAATTAAAATACAATAGTGTGGATGTATGTAAACATTTTATGCATCAAAGCTTTTAACAGGCTCAAAAGGCTTTCAATGATGTAAGCCTTCATCATTTTGTAAACTAAAAACCCCCTCTGGCAAGCAGCTCAGCTTTATAAAGTTTGAACTTTACACCTGAATGTTTCAATTTCCTATAAGCTGATTTCATTATGGAATACTCAAAGGTTTTTGGTGTCAAAAACTAATTAGTGATTCCTTTCGCATGCAATTCATACGATTTTGGAAGGCAATAGTCAGTAAGTTGTTTAAGCTTTTACACATGGACGACATATAAATTTTAAAGCTGGAAACTCAAATAAGGAAGCAATTCGCTTTCATAAATTTGAGCTTTACACATGAAGTTTCAGTTGCCTGAAAGCTCTTTTCCTTTTGCAATATTCAATATAATTCAGTCAATGTATTTAGTTCAGTAAAACCCTTTTAAGTGACTTCATACACATGCAATTCATACAGTAGTAAGTACGTTTTTAAGCCCGAAAGCATTCTTGAGCTTTCACACATGGAAGCTTTAAATATTTTTAAAACTGGTAACCCGATTTCAATGTACTTTCTCAGTCAGAAGTTGGTTAGTGGCTTCATGCACATGTCATTTCACTCACGAAAGCTTTTAGTAGCCCGAAAGCATTCTTAAGCTTTCACGTATGGAAGCTTTTAAACCCCTTAAAATAAATATGCCAATTTCAACGTTACACATGAATGCTCCAATTACCTGTGAAGTAGTTTAAGTTCGAAATATTTTAGGTATTTTTGAGTCCAAAACTATTTACTGATTTCTTGCTCATGCAATTCAAACCACTTTCAAATACTGCTATTCTGTCGACATCTTAATGTACTCAATACTTAACAAGTAAACGCTTTTAAAATGTACTGATTTTTTTCAAGTTTGTGAATTTTCGAAATTCTAAAAAAGCTTTCAGTGCGATTTTTTTACATAAACTTTCCCAACTCTTCAACATGCACAAGAGTTTCGAGAAATTTTGCAAACTTATAAAAGCTCTCGGAAAACGCTAAGTGTTCAAATGTCGATTTGAAAAAGGCTTTCACTCCAATTTCACTTAAGTTTTCCCACGCACTCATCATTTTGAAATAATTTGAAAAGGTATTTTTCGAAGTTGTTTTATTCTCGCCAGCATTCAGAACTTTTCGTATTAATACATTGCTTTGTTCCCTTTTCAATCAAAAGTTTAAGCTCCTTTACGTTCCCAATGTTGTTGCTTATACATACATAAATAGCAAATCAATTTGATTAACATAGGTTTTCTGCTAATTTAAATGTACATACGTAAATACAAAAGAGCCGTAATACATAAAACACAAAATAATATTATGAATTTTTCAATAAAAATATAAAACATTGAACAATACTATTTAACACTATTACTGCTATAAGTATATAATTAAGAAAAAAATATAATGCATATACATACATATTTAAAGACAAAAATAAAATTGTGAAATCTCGCAACTTGCATATTATTAGCGTGACGAATATTGAATGATTTATGTAATGGCTGGCTGCAAGGAATGGAAAATGGCATTGCAAATGGCACTTCAATAAACAACGACATTAGCCATAAGTTCTAAGCATAGTATTTAATAGTAAATATATACACTTACATACCTACATAATATATACATACATCTATAAAGATAAGGTTCTTGTATGTATATTATATGATGATGATTATTCTTTACAATAAGCAGCCAATAAAATAACTAGTTTGAGCCTCCCGATATACTTACATACATATATACATACATGTATGTACGAGTAAATATCCATAGCGAAGAAAAGTTTAAATTATAAAAATTTATTAGAAGTGAAAATAAATTTAAAAATTAATTCAAATTTGAATGAACAAATTTAAAAACGTGTTTGCTGCTATTACAGTAGCATTTAATGAGAAAAATGAATTTAGTTAGTAAACTACTCAGATCAATATATATACATGCATATTAAGCAAAGCATATACACAAGTAGATATGTAGCGAGTATATTGTTTGCGAAAACTACGTACTTACATAAGCCAACACTGACTTGAGCGCTAAAAAAAAATATTCATGCTGTAGCGCCCCNATATTAAGCAAAGCATATACACAAGTAGATATGTAGCGAGTATATTGTTTTCGAAAACTACATACTTACATAAGCCAACACTGACTTGAGCGCAAAAAAAAATATTCATGCTGTAGCGCCCTTTTCTGCTTGACTCTGCAGCTCTGTAGTAAAATTTAGTAAGCTTTTAGATACTACATATATATCAATAACTCGTACAACTACCTAATCACATATACGTACATAACTATAAAATATTGCTTATATACATACCTACTAACTACATAATGATGAATGTATAATTAAAATAAAATTGGCGAAAACATACTTTTCAACCAACCATAGCAAGAAGTAGTGATTTTGGAATCATTGCAATGAACTTTAAAATCGCGATAAATATTCTTGGTATTGACGTTTTCCAGTGGCGGACCCACGGTGGGTGTTTTCATATGGCGCATATGTATGTATAATATGGCGTCTGTGTATTAAAACACCCCCCGTGGATCCACCACTGACTAACACGTAGCTTAACCCCCAAAAATTCTCCGCTGGATCCGCCACTGACGGTTTCCATTGATTTTTATAAGCTTGCGCTACCTTAGTCAGGGTTCAATATACATTCACATAACCAACGCTAAACACTATTTTGCAATACAAATTTAAGCTTTCTTCGTAGCTTTTTAATTGCACTACAATTGAAACTTTCGCTGCCCGAGTCAGGATTTTCGATTTACTGTAAATCACAGAAGTATTCGTAATTTACCCCTTTTATAATAATGTAATGTGAAGTCTATGGGACCGCGACCGAGAAGATCTTTGGCATCCCTATGATGGCTCTTAAACCTGACGATCCAAGATGTCCAAGCTATCTTAATAAAAGCAGAAAGTTTCTCGGGAGGCGTACTCCTGACCTAAAGGGCATCGACAATGGAAGAACTGTTGTATTACAGCCTATTAACGGATAATCACACATAATGTGCTCCCACGTCTCCTCGTCTTTAAGGCAAAGGCGGCAGTCCGTCTCAGTGGAAGGACCAATCCTGTGCAGGTGACGGCGCAGTGTGTCCTGTCTAAAGCCCCCTAACTCACCCCAGTATTTACTGCATTCTGAGTTTACCCACGCTTCTATTACGAGCCTCGTATAAGACCTACTTAGTCCACAAAACGGCTCCTGCCCCATAACTACAGGCGATGAGCCTGCCCTAGTCAATTTGTCGACGGCCGCATTAACTACGATGCCGCAGTGTTCTGGTGTCTTTTTTTCAGACGAAAATTCTGAGCGTTAATAAATAGTTGTCCAGATTTTCAACATACTTATTGAAACTTTCATTAAAAAAAACTATACTTTTAAAAATGTAGCAAATATATACATATATAAACTATTTGCAAACATTTTCGTTTGACCGCTTTTGACTTTCGAAGGCTCCTCGATATAAGTGAGGATTTTCGTTATACATATTTGCTTTTCCAACAGTCGCGGTAACTTTCCAAAGTAAAATCTCTAAATTCCCATATTGTCATATGCAGCTTTGAGCACATCAGTGATTATCACAGAGAGCTTTAACTCGCGCTTTTCTGGTTAGCAGACATTTTTAATCCCTTTAATTCATTTAATTCGGTGATACTCTGTGTGCGTCCATACAAAATCTACAGAGAGCTTTGAAGAGTTCCACCCGGGACGCTGTTTTGAGCATCTCTGATTTAGTCACAGGAAAAGGCTTTTTCTCTGTGCCCATGACTGCTTATTTGAGCAAGTGTCAATTCATTCTTATATATCCGGTCTTGAGCTCATCTTACATTGGTTCGTTCTTAACAATGAAATTTTTGGGAAACACCAGGTTGCTGCAAAAATAAGTTGAGGTCTTTTCAGAAATAAGTATGACTTGTAAAATTCAACTAAAGCACAGTCTTACAAAAACCAGTTGTTTGCTTCAAAATTTGCAAATCAAGCCTAAGAATTAGTGAGGTTATCTACGAGTTATATACTCCCAAAATATGCACTTCAACTGCTAGTTTTTAGCAGGTTATTTAACAGGTGTTGCAATATGATACCCTAAAATTAGGCATCAAGATATGTTTGTCTA